CCACCACGGGCACCTGCTCACCCCCTGCAGCCCCCCCCAACCTGGCACCACGGGCACCTGCTGACCCCCCTCCCCTGGCTCCGCCCCTTACCTGCGCCGCAGCCCTGGCCGTGCGAGGTCGGCCCCCCCCCGAGCCGGTCCAGCAGCGCCCCCAGCAGGCGCTCGGGGCTGTCGGGCGGCCCCGGGGGCCAGCAGCAGGTGGCGGCGGGGTCGGGGCTCAGCGGCGGCTCCCCGCCGCCGGGGGACAGCTCCTCGGAGGAGAAGGACGAGGGGGACCGGAGCGCGGCGTCCGGGGGCCGCAGCTCCAGCCAGCGCCCGTCGCCGCCGGGCTGGGCCGGCTCCATGCCCCGCTCGGGCTCCTCGGCGGGCTCCCGGAGGAAGCCGGGCAGCAGCAGGCGGGAGACGCTCTGGCGGCGCTGCAGCCCCCCCGGGCCCGGCCCGGCCCGGCCCGCCAGGTGCGAGCCCTGCTTCTTCAGGAATTTCTCCAGCGGCTTCATGCCCGGCCGGCCGGGGCGCGCAGCGGGGGCGCACGGGGCGCGCAGCGGGGGCGCACGGCTCCGCGCCGCGCTGCGCTGCGCTCCGGCCCGGGCTCCCCGCGGGGGGCTCAGGGGGCCATGGGGCCCGGCGGCGGGAGGGCCGGGCAGCCCCGGGCTCGCTCCGTGGCGCAGGCTCCGGCCCCGGGACCCGTCACTGCCCCGCTCCGAGGGGCTCTGCGGCGGGCGGGGCTGCCCGGGCTCCCCGGGATGCGGGGATGCCTGTCTCCGCCCCGGGAAGGTAACGAGCCCCAGGCTCCGCCCCCTCGGCCGCTTCGCCCCGCCCCCGGGTCCCCTCCCCCTCGCCTCCACATGTTGCTCTTGCCAAGGGAAACACCTTGATCTGGGAGGAGGAGGCTAAGAATAAACCCGGGCCTGGCCCGGGTGGGGCCAGGGGATCTGGGTGTGTTTGCGCGGCGGGGGGAGGGGGTACAGCCCTGGGAGGGGTATGAGAGAAGAATCACATTCGTGCTGGGGGGGGTCAGACTTGGGGAGCGCAGGCCCCTTTGGGGTGAGAGAACAGAGGAAGGCCTGGCTGTGGGGCGGGAGGTGGAGATTTGGGGTAACACCTGCAGCCGCTTGGCTGTGGGGAGATGTGGCCCTGAGCCCATCCCAGGGAGCGGGAGCTGGGTCGGCAGAGTTCCCACCCCCACAAGTTCCATAGGCCCAGACTCTCCAAGGTAATTTGGCTCCTAACCTCCATTGGAGTCCAGGGGAGTTAGGAGCCTCACAGCTTCAAGGCTTGGGACTGTAGGGAGAGTTTGAGGCCAGACGGGACCATTAGCTCACCTGGGCCGAGCTCCTGCCTGGCCTGGGCAAGACACCCCTAGACGGAGCCCCATGTCCGAGGCCAACGTGCCGCTGCAGAGAACTGGAGAGTGCAAGGTGACGCCGGTGCCCGAGGCCCAGGGGGCTGGTGCTGGGGGGTGGCTTGTGACCCTGGCGTCAGAGGCACCGTTACATCTTGTGTTTTCACAGTTCCTAGTCGCTGCAGTTGGCCTCGTCCTCAGTTGTGTTGATGGGGAAACTGAGGAACAGCTGTGATGTGACCTACCCAGCTGGGGAGAGAACCCAGGAGTCCTGACTCCCAGCCCCCTAAACTACTTGACTGCACTGTATAATTTGTGACGATTGAAACCTAAAAGGAGGTTTTCGTGATGGAGGTAGATAATGGGTAGTTCTTTTCAGCCATATGGACGAAGGCTACACTGGGTCCTATAGGAGGAAAGCGGCTCACATATACGGTATACGTGTTGTACAGACCATATAGATCCTTCAGACAGCAAAAACAACGCGACAGAGGCCTCTGGATGCTACCACAATATAGGTGGTTAATATCAGACAATAGTCGAGGAGTGGGACTTGCGAGAGCTGCCCTTTGATCTCTCAGGACTCCTGGGTTCTAGTCTCAGGTCTGCGCCTTTGGGCCAGTCACTGCCCCTCCCTGTGCCTCAGTTTCCCCGTGATCCAATGCGGGGGAAGCGACTCGCTTTTGTGCTTTGATAGCCTCGTGTGGAAAGTGATCAATCCACTGCCTTTTGACTGTCCCTCTCCAGCACAAACTCTCTGGGATCGACTTCCAAGCATGTAGGCTCAAATAAACGTGTTAGTCTCTAAAGTGCCGCACGTATTCCTGTTCTTTTTGTGGATACAGACTAACACGCTGCTACTCTGAAACCCGTTGCTAACACTGTCTGTTGCCCTTCCTAAAGGCCTGTTGGTGTTTGACGTGCCTCTTTCGCTTGACGAGAACTTGACAACGACGTGTTAAATCACGCCGGGCGGCTGGAGCGTTTCCCACCACGTGGCCGCTCTGAGAGCCTTGCTGACGCCGGGTCAGAACATCCCCAGGGACCAAGAGTTTATTGCTGGTGCATTTTATAGCGTGTTTTTATTGGATCCTTAAAGCTGGGTCTAATACTAGCCCCCGTAACGCTTGGCCTGCACACAACCCTTCGCAGTGCTGGACGTTTTCGCTGTTGTCCCAGCCAGGCCCCAGGTCGGCAACGCGCTTCGGCATCCTCGGGGAGTGAGGACTTCAGCGTGTGCTTAACTGGGCTCTAATCCGTGCCCAAGCAGCGCCCGTGTGACACAAAAACGCAGGAATCTCCACTGCCCGACTGCCGCATCCTTGCTGCAGCCAGAAATCCTAAGTGGAACAGCTTCTCCTGGCTCCTTGGGCATCTCCTTGGGAGTGAGAGGGGAGCACTGGGGAGCTGTCGGGGCAAGAATGACACAGGCTGACAAAGAGAAGTGTTTGCAGGGTCAGACCCACAGACAGAGCCCCGGCGAAATTCACACAGACACCACAGAGTGATGAGTTTCACTTTCCGGTGTGTTACACAGTTTGCTTTTTGTGCTCTGTGGTTCTGTTTATTTTCTGAGTTGCACATAAATGCCGATGGCCTATAAATATCTCAGCTCGCTCGCTAGCTACCTGAGCGGGATGCTGGCACGCTTGGGGTCCCAGCATGCAGAGAAATGTTGAAATCCACCCCCAAAACTCTCTTCACTGGAAGAGATCTACAGGCAGAGACAACATGACTAGCCCCATTGTTTTGTAACCACCACAGCCACAGGCACATGGGCACAGGCAGCCCCGGTCACGTCCCCGTGTCATACATACAAACCCTACGTTCTGTTCCTACACTGCTTGGCAGAGAAGGCCGGTCCCCCCCAGTCCTGTTCTAGGGTTCCCCAGCACTGGGTCACAGACGAAGTGCCCTGGGAGCAGCCAGGCGGGAGAGCAGCTCAGAGATGCTGTATTTGTCTGAATCAGATCAGGAGCCCCTCGGGGCTGGGGCCAGAGGGCTAGACCCTGGTCTTGGTTACACCAAGGGAACGACTTGGGTTTCTGTGGAGTGACTCCACATTTGTGCTGGCCTGGCTGCGAGCTGAATCCAGCACCACAGGTGACGAGTGTCAATCACTACGTAGCGTGTGGCCCAGCCCCGGCCGATGGCCTGGGATCAGGATCAGTGCGATTCCCACCCCCACCCCGAATACACCTTCCATGCCCCATGGGACTGCGCTTCCCCTCGTCCTGCGGCACCGGGAGAACAGCACAGGACGTCTCTGAGCAGGTCCGGGCAGCGTTCTGCCTCCTCTGCCTGGCTGCCTTGCCCGGGCGCTGGGGAGCCCCGTGCGACGGACGGTTCCCTGCCAGCAGGAGGAAGCCGGGCGAGGCGAAGGGGAACAGGAATGTCAGGCCAGGCGAGCCGGGACAGGCAGCAGGGCTGGGCCCATGCTCAGAGCAGGAAGCCGAGCGCAGTTTTGTGTGGGAGGCAGGTAATTGTGGATCGAAAACAAGGGACCTTGCCGATGAGTGATGGGGCCTTCCCTCCATCTCCCTCTCGCCGGGGTGTTTGGGGCTAGACACAGACAGGAACTGAGTCCCCTGCTCCGCTCCGGACGACGCTGGCTGCCGGCAGGGACACGTCCTGATGCCCCCGTGGGGATCGGGGCTCTGCCCGGCTGGGGGGCAGCGTGAAGGAGCTGGAGTGGAGGCCCCGTCTCCCCCAGCCCAGCCCAGCCCTCTCCCTGCTGGGGTCCTCCCCTCCCCCCACGTTCCCCCTCACACTCGTCATCCCCCAGCCCAGCAGCTGCCGCTCCCAGCGGTGTCCCCGCTGCCCGCGGCTGGGTCCCGAGCCCAGGGGTCCAGCGATGCTGCCCGGCGCCCCCCAGCCCCCTTGGCGGTGGGGACAGGGGAGGGGGCGTCTCCACACTACTGGCCCAGCCCCGAGCCACGCGCCCCCAGCTGGCGTGAGACGGGCCAGGAGCCGCCAAGGCCCCTGGGCCCAGAGGGGATCGAGATTGGAAGTGGCATGAAAAGGGGGAGGGGCCCTGCTTACAGCCATCGCCATGGAAACGCCTGAGTTTGTAACACTTATGGAAGGGAGGGGCCAATAGCAATTCTGGGAACTAGACTGTGCAAGCTGCCCCCCCCCCCCCCCCCCCCCCCCCCCCCCCCCCCCCCCC